CACACACACAATTAAACAAGCTAAGGAGATTAGTTGTCTACATGCAGTATGTCTCTAGATAAAGCAATAGTGGACAGCCAGTTACTGTACCAGGTGTTGCCCCCATTTCCTCTCGACTGTAGGTACAGTAGACTCAGTGAAGAGAGCACCCAAACAACCTTTGAGAACTATAAATCACTGGTGCAGAAGTATCAATCCATTTGACACTTTTAATTACACCAAATGTTCTTGGATTATACGGTGTAGAGCTGGGTTTGCTGCATGAATGAGTGGGTGGGTTGCCACTGACAAGTCTTAAGTTAAAAGCTACACGCTGGTTAAAATATCTCAGTTTTATGATAATGTGCATCAATAAAATCCATTGGTCAAGTCAAAATGTCATGATTACTAGTGTCTGTTCAGTGGTGTGTGTGCAGTGTGAAATCTCAAGCATTCTTATGAAGAGCCATTCTGACAACACTAATTTTAGCCTTTCTGTTATCTCAGAGGCCAGGTTATCTGTGGCCGAAAGCTCCCTGGGCCCTCTAAGAGCCACCGTCTTTCACTCTGGTAGAGCCAGGTCTTCATCAAGGGACGCCTTGGCACACTGAAGCCCTCCTTTGACATAGTCAGCTCAACACCATGTGGTAATACTCACAACCAGTGTAAGCAGAGGAGGTAGATCTCAGAAGTGAGAAAAACAACAGAAGTGTTGTTCTAAACTTTGACAAATTAATGCTGGTTTAACATATGTTTAACATAAAAGGAATAGTTCATAATGTTAGAAACGTGCTAAGTAATGAATGTTAAAGGTGTTTGTTATTGTTGCTGTTTCCTCCTGTTTCCAGTCTTTATGCTAAGCTAAGGTAATCGGCTGGTGGCTCTAGCTTCTTATTCAAGAAGCATGAAAGAAAGCAAATAGTGAACTTCCCAAAATGTTAAGCTATTGCTTTAAGACCTCCGGATAAGGAAGCAGTGTCCGACTCTAAAATAAAGTTTTGGTCACACTTTTTTTTTCTGTCTTGGTAAAGAAGTGTGTGTGCATACACACCGCCTTCATGCTACAAGGCCCTAATCTTGTTGTAAGTAAATGAAATGAGGTAAAAACCAAAGAGAGAGGTGGCCTCCATTTATCCTGATCATTGTATAGAGATTTTGAAAGGCTGTGTTGTTATTTTTAGAAACTGAAATTGAAAATTAGCTGTAATTCAAGTTTTAAAAAAGACTATTCCTCCATTTCTCATATTAATAATCTTTTGTCAGTGGAAGAGGTACTACTTCTTGTAGTTTAACCTACGTGTACATTATTATTCTTTAGAAAATGTAAGCTCCTTTAGCTGGTGTTTACAAATGACCAACAAAACCACTTTAGTTTAATCTGGGGGGATTTTAATTTGGCTGTTGTTTGGCACCTATTTTTTTTTTCTTGCAGTTCTTAGACTTTGCGTTATTGTTTCATTTCCTTTATGTCTGTCTTTATGTTTACCCTGGTGACATGACTGCACAGTATCTGGTCACTGTCAAATGAATGTACAGGCATACCGTCATACAGTTCACATCAGGAGATCTTATTTGTGTAGTTCAGAACTTTAATAATAATATCAACCGACATTTACATACTTTTATAGCTTTAATCTTAAACATTCCAGTTGAAGATTCCTGTATAGTTTGCACTTATCCAAAGAAAACAAAAGTATGACATAGAATTACACATTTAAATGAAATCAGTATGCAGCTCAAATGTTTCAGCATTTGAATACAGAAATTAACAGGTCTATTAAAAACAATTTAATCTGTGAAAGAAGAACAAAAGCATGGTTCCCATTATTCATCTGCATTGTGGAGAAATAACATTATACTCTTGTTCAACCTCTGCCTTGTTCAGCAAAGCGTAGGTGTTCATCTCCTCACAAAGTTTCTTCTGTACACGTTTGTGCCTGCAAATACAAAATAGCTTAATTTTACAAAACATCTCTGATGAGTGATAAGAGGTACATAACAAAGTCCTTCAACTTGTTCTGATATTTTGATGTATGTACAGGTTTGATGTTATTTATTTATTTTGTTAGTGCTTGCATTCACTTTTTATGTTTTGGAGATTTTCAACCTGACGTTCAGGAGCAGGGCAAGCCTAAAGCACTCACCCCATCCTCTTCCAGTTATGTTTAAACCAATGTAATGCCATCCTCTTCCAGTTATGTTTAAACCACCAAGAAAGACTCATTTCTGCTTTTGCTTTCCGTACCTCACCCCCACTTTCTTTTTTTTTTTTTGCATCTTTCTATCCTCTCGCTCACTCTCTCCTCTTTCATGCAGGGTGTCTGCCAGTGCCCGAGAACAGCACAGATCCTCAAAGCCTTTTCCCCCAAACCACAGTTCATAACCAAGCCATCACCAATCACTATTCTTCTCTCATACACTGAGGACGGGCCCTAGCTAGTGAACTTACCTTCGGTATGTGATGATGATCAGACTGGCGAGGATCAGGTTCAGAATGAAAGATAAAGTTGTTATCCAGGGATGTACTGCTTTGAACTTTTGCTTCCAATCCTTCTGATCTATAGAAATTTGTTACAGTATGAAACATCATTCAACCAGTTTGGAGATCAGTTTGCAGCTGGCATTGAGCAGATATGAAAATCTACTCACAGTTCAGCGGTACGTTCTCTGTGTAGTTTTGGATTGGAATTTCAAACTCAGCCTGTCCCAGTTTGTTGCTGCTGA